TCTATTCTATTCTATTCTATTCTGCATTCTATTCCATTCTTATTTCTATTCTATTCTATTCTATTCACTACCTATTGATGAAGCCTATAAGTAAGTTGCATCCCTAAATCAATGTTTCTCAATCTTGGCTTCTTTCAGATGGATAGATTTCAACTCCCCGTACTGCGTTCTAGAACTTTAACATGAAATAATAAAAATAATAAAAAGTATTATGGGGATGAGCACCTGTTTCCCCTTCTCGCTTTTGAGATTTCGAAGCTTTCGGGCCTCTAACAACAACCGATCCCTTTCAAGCCTCTTTGACACTCGGATTTAGCTCCGATACCTCGCTAGCGCCGGCTTTGTACCCATTATATGAATTAACAATACAGTCACGCAAGAGTCATGATTCATCTAAAATTAAAAGGCATTCAGGCTGACTCAGAAAGTTATTCTTAGAATTCCTCAGGGCAATAGCCTTGCAGCTTGGAAGAGGGCAAGGGCGCCCCCTGCTGGAAGAGAGCAGCGTTACACTTTGGATCATTTTAGATAGAAATCTGGAACGACTTATAAAATAAATTTGCACCGCTCAGGTGACCCTGAGGATACAGGTAATCCTCCACTCAACGACTCTCTAAAAGAAGGCAGATGACCAGCTGTCTGCAAGGAGTGAAGCAAATTTCACAGCTGCAGGGATTCGCTTAAGAACCGTCGCGAGAAATATTGTAAAATGGGTCCAAACTCAGCATCCCAAACTTTCCGTGACAACCCCAAAGGTGCTTTTTTCAAGAGACAACTGGACTTTCTGGGTTTTCTTTTCTTTTTTTTAAGACGGTCGCGGTGTCCCAGGACCACGTAGTCAATTTTGCAGCCTTCTGACCAGCAAAACTTCACTGCTGTTGCAGTTGTGTATTGTCAGAATAATCTGGGGGTCCAATTTGGGGGTCCAACTCAAAGCAGGATTGCCCAACAATAAATAAAAAGGAAATCCAGACAGCTTTGAGGAAAGGAGAATTATTTATTCCCAAAAGCAAAGAGGGGCAGCTTGCCTTGGGGGCAGCTACAGAGAAAATGGGGTACAGAGACACTGTTTTATAGGGGAGCTTGTCCTGATTGTGGAAATGTACACGTGCTGATTCTAGGCCGCAGGGGTAGGCAACCTCGGCTCTTTTATGACTCGTGGACTTCAACTCCCAGAATTCCTGAGCCAGCCATGCTGAGGGGAAAGGGGGAGGTTTCCAAGCTGAGCCATGCTGGCTCAGGAATTCTGGGAGTTGAAGTCCACGAGTCATAAAAGAGCCGAGGTTGCCTACCTCTAGAGTAATATTTGAGGGGCATGGGTGTGTGTAGGTACATGTCATCCATGATACTTATTATCTTGTGAACAAGCAGCTCTGTTTAATTAACTCTATTTCTGTTTACAGACCTTCTCCTTTGATATGTGGATTAAATCTGGGTAACTTATTTGGAGGCTTAAGGAAGTTTAAGCAAAAGATTTCTCACATTGGCTCTTTTTAACTTGATTAACTTAGTTTCAGCTCGGTTGTCAATTATCTAGCAAAGATGCTCATTCTCAGTCTCTGGTGGATTCTGTTCACGTTGAAGGGGAGGTGGAGAGAACATAAAGAATAAACTATATTTTGATACAAAGCTTCCCACAGCTGAACCCCAGCTCCTGTCCATGAAAGGTATGGAGCTTCTGCTTTGTCCTAGCAAGACCCTTTCTCAAGTCTTCTTCCATCTTGTTTTCAGGTTCCTTCTTCCCTTCCCTGAAGCCCTCGGGAATGGCCTTCAAGATTATCTTCTGGCTGGGCTACTTCAACAGCTGCGTGAACCCCATCATCTACCCCTGCTCCAGCAAAGAGTTCAAAAGAGCGTTCATCCGCCTGCTGAAGTGCCAGTGTCGTCGGAGGAGGCCCATCTGGAGGGTTTATGACAACCCTTGGCGAGGGGCCTCCGTCAACGGCTCTAGCCGAGACTCGGAGAGGGAGCCCCGTTCCAAGATCTCCACCCTCAACGGCTCCTTCATATTGAACTCCCACAGCTTGGAACGACCGAGCAGGAGGAAGGCTCTGAACTTGAAGCGGTGGAGGATATTCTCTCCGTTCCGCAGGCCCACCGTCCAGCTGAAAGAGAAAATGAACAGCCTCTCCCACAAAATGCGCGGCAGCTCCCTCAGAGGCGGCATGGCGGCCTCCTTCAAAACGGAGGTGGAGTCGGTGTCCATCGGCATCCCCAATGAGTTCTTGGAATGCATCGACTACCACCTGTACGACGACCTGACCGACTCGGAGTCTTGTGGGCTCAAAGAGACGGATATTTGACGCTAAGGGGGACCGCTCGGGTTTTTTTCTGGATTCAGTTTGGTTGGTCTCCATCTTCTAAGTGGTTGGTTGACAAAGGTGGATGCACTCCATGAGTGAGACAGGTAGACTAACCAAGGTAGTCGTACCCCCCATTGGTAGAATCTACGCTTTGCATTCAGAAGACACCGCATAACTTTTTTGGGAGCTTGTTGCTCTCTGAGCTGGGTGGTTTTCTTGCAGACGTTTCATGACCCAACTAGGTAACATCATCAGTGCTAGAAGGGTGTGGGGTTTGGGGGAGAGGAGGAGGAGGAGGATGACGACGACGACGACGATGACGACCGTGGGGTCCCTGGTGCTCTCTGAGCTGGGTGGTTTTCTTGCAGACGTTTCATGACCCAACTAGATAACATCATCAGTGCTAGATGGGTGTGGGGTTTGGGAGGAGGAGGAGGAGGAGGACGATGATGACCGTGGGGTCTCTGGTGCTCTCTGAGCTGGGTGGTTTTCTTGCAGACATTTCATGACCGAACTAGGTAACATCATCAGTGCTAGAAGGGAGGGAATTTGCTGGAAGGAAGAGGAGGACCGTGGGGGTCCTTGGTGCTCTCTGAGCTGGGTGGTTTTCTTGCAGACGTTTCATTACCCAATTAGGTAACATTATCAGTGCTAGAAGTGGTTTAGGTTTCTCTCTCTGTTTTTATACAGGCAACCCCCCTCCTTTCTAGCACTGATGATGTTACCTAGTTGGGTCATGAGAGGTCTGCAAGAAAAGCACCCAGTTCAGAGAGCACCAAGGACCCCCATAATTCAACCCTGAACTACGAAATGTTCTCTTCTGTGGGTATACATACCCTGGTCTCCAAAGAGCCGTCTATCATAACCCTGGTTGGAAATTGAGTCGCCTAAAGTTACCTAAAGGAGGTCAGTTGGCCACAGGGTGGGAAGGACAAGTACAGATAGTCCTCAACTTACGACAGTTGAGCCCCAAATTACGGTTGCTCAGCGAGGCAGTTGTGAAGGGAATTTTGCCCCATTTTACCACTTTCCTCGCCCCCGTCGTTCAGTAAACCACTGCCCTTGTTAAATTAGTAACGTGGTTGTTAAGTCAACTTTGCTTTTCCAGAATGCTGGCTGGGGGATTCTGGGAGTTGAAGTCCACAGATCTTCACGATTGAAAATCATAGCATTGGGGGAAGAAAAATCAACTATAAAACAGTTCCTCTTTGTTGTGACTTCCTAGGTCACAGCTGACTTCATCCATGCATTAAGTTAATTAAAAAAAAAAAAAGACAAAACAGTAAGCCAGAATCTGCCGTACAGCCACGGATGGGGGAAGCCAAGTTAATAACTTATTGAAGTAATTATTTCTACTTTATTTCAAGTACTAGATGTCCTGGAACTGTCAGCTCTAAGTTAGCCCAAAATAATTGTCCCCAAAAATATTCCACTCGTACTAGAACAGGAACTGGAGACAAATCCATGGACATTGTACTTTGCCAAGTGATTTGGCACAAGGATTCCTAACTATCTCACATAATAAAAAATAAATGCGGAATAACAGAATAACAGAATTGGAAGGGACCTTGGAGGTCTTGTAGTCCAACCCCTTGCTCAAACAGGGGACCCTCTACCATTCTGGACAAAATCCATGATTCAGAATTCAATGACTTATAATAAATTGCGTATCTGTTTTCGGGCCCGGCACAAGACCCCCAAATCAGGGGCCGAACTTGGCTACTTGACTGTCTAACAGGCTACTTGACTGTCTGTCTAACCTTGAGAAAAGGGACAATAACATTGACACAAAGACTTCATTATAACTTGGTCAAATTTTGTGAAGCACTTTAAGAAAACCCCTTCTGCAATCTTCTAAATCAGGGGTTTTTTTCCCCCAATTTTGGCAACTTTAAGACGGGTGGACTTCAATTCCCAGAATTCCTCAGCCAGAATCCCCCACTGTTCCAAATGCACCTTTCCCCTCCATGCTGCTTTGTGCAGCTTTAGAATTTTCAAATAAAAGAGAGAGCCAAAGAGATCAAAATATAATCCCTCCAATTTTCCCTGCAGCCCTTATTCCAATTTCCCTAGGACCAGCATCTGGGGCCATGAAGTGCCAGGCTTCATTCTCATAGAAAGACGAAAGAAAGAAAAAAAAATATATTTCATTGCACTTAAACACAGCTTGGTGGACAGTTTTTTCCTTAAATTGGGTATTTCCTAAATCAACCATCTGTCTCAACATTTAGGTCATCAAACGGCAGGAAACAGGAGGTGATTATAATTGCTCAAGTGAAGACTTAAATCAAATGAGCGTGTTTGGGTTTGGTAAATCCACTGCTCGCGCAGTGATTTTAACTTTTTGAGCCCAAGAGACATGGTGTCACCTTTGAATGGGATGCTGGAGACCTCAATAGTTAAGAGGTACACAAGCAAACGAAATTGCAGTGTCCTGTAGTGGCACAAACACATATTTGTCTTGTTTGAGAACTGCATTTGAGAAATACAGTGTTAACTTGAATTGTATTCCAGGATTGGCTTGTCTTCAGCTGAGAGAACGTGCAATCATTTAAGACTTTTAAGAAATCTGTCCTTAAGGTCTTCACATTATATGGTTTTGAATACCATGATGTCATAGATGTATTATTTATCATTGGAAAAGAACATCTTTCACACTCCTTTTTTAAAAAAAAAATTCTGGGGAAAAAAACCAGAAAAAAAACCTCCTTTTCCCCCCAATTTTTCCATTTTTTTTTTTTCAGGCCTCCCATCTCTAATAAACTTGGCAACTTTAAAACTTGTGGGCTTCAACACCCAGAATTCCTCAGCCAGCCATGAATTCTGGGAGTGGAAGTCCACCAGTCTTCGATATTGGAATTGTGGGTGGTTGAAGTCCACCAGTCTTAAAAGTTGCCAAATTTGTGGCTGCATTGGTGAAGTCCTAATGCAAAGAACGCTTAAATTCACATGTACGCTGCCAAGTCCTCTAGATCAGGGCTGTCAAACTGCCGGCCCGTGGGCCGGTTTCATCATACCGGAGCCGCGCCCACCCCATTGCCGTCAACGGCAAAAAAGCTCCGATACGTTGCGCGACATCATGTGACGTCGCAAATTTGACATGTCTGCTCTAGATGCTGCAATTTCCACTGGTGAAGAGGCGAGCTTTTTTGTTGTTGTTGTTGTTTCCCCACGTTCAAAAAACTTGCCTCTTTGACACTGGGAATTTCTCCACCCTTCTGGGGGATAAAAAAGGGAAAACAGTCCAAGTGGAGATTTTATTTTCAGCTACAGGCGAAGAATGCAGACGTGAGAAGCTGGAGAGAGGCGATATTGTATTAAAGAAGAAACGGACACTCGATCCTCAGAAATAGAATGCGGAATTCGTCCTCTGCATTTCTGTCGGGCGAATGTTTTATAACCTTTCTATTTTATTGTTTACAACTGTGTACATAGGTGTACATTTCATTGAGCGGACCTTTGGATATTCGACGCCCAATTCTTCGGCCCCTTCCTCCTTAAAAAAAAACTGCAAGTGTATTTATTCGCTGAGGAAAACCGATGGGTCGATTTCCTGTTGACTTTCCCACACAAAAATGTACATTATATACTGTTTCTTTGTACCAAATACATGCACAATTCTTCGTTCGGTGCATTGTTTTCTGACACGGTGTCGGTTTCTCCTTTGTGGATGGCTCTGGGCTTCTCCCACTTGACGCGCAAAACAGAAATGTGTAGTTTACCTCTTTGGGGGGGAAAAATATCATGAAAGCCAACATATACAACACGGGGGGTCCTCGGCTTAACGACCGCCGTGGAGCCCGAAATTTCTGTGGCTAAGCAACACGGCGGTTAAGTGAGTTTTGCCCCATGTTACGACTTTTCTTGACACAATTTGTTAAGCGAATCACGTCAGCTGTGAAGTTAGGGAGACGGTTCATCCATAAATGAACATACTCTGATTTTTCAGTGATAGATGTGAACACCAGAGGGCAGCAGTTACCCATTTTTGAATAAACAAATTCTGTGTGAAAAGGAAGTGAATTAGACAGTCTTAAAATATAACCGATTTATTATACTGCAAGAAGACTAAACATTCTTGAATATTCCTCAAATGCTGCAGAGGTTTGTCTATTCTATTCTATTCTATTCTATTCTATTCTATTCTATTCTATTCTATTCTATTCTATTCTATTCTATTGTTTTGCCATTCTATTCTATTCTATTCTATTCTGTTCTATATAATCTAAAATTCACAAGATCTACATAACAAGATGGACCATCCAATATTGCCCATAGAGCTACATGCAGTCCTTTCAGAGATGAAAAAGAAGCAAAAAGAAGCATGAAAATTATTAATGGGATGAAGCACTTACCCTAATGAGGTATCTCAGCTGTTTTAAAAAAAATATTTATAATTCAGATTTAGCAAGCTTGTCCCGCTTGGCATGGACTTTGGGCAGCGTTTAATTAAACTCAATGCAATAACTAAAATCAGCAAGATATCCTGACATAGAACGAGACATAACAGGCAAAACAATGTATCATGGCCAAATCTTGAAGACCAGTTTGGTCTAGCAGTGAATACATCAGGCTAGAAACACAGAGACGGTGAGTTCTAGTCCTGCCTTAGACAGGAAAGACAGCTGGATGACTTTGGGCCAATCACCAGGAGACGGTGAGTTCTAGTCCCGCCTTAGGCACGGAAGCCAGCTGGGTGACTTTGGGCCAATCACCAGGAGACGGTGAGTTCTAGTCCCGCCTTAGGCACGAAAGACAGCTGGGTGACTTTGGGCCAATGACCAGGAGACGGTGAGTTCTAGTCCCACCTTAGGCACGAAAGACAGCTGGATGACTTTGGGCCCATCACCAGGAGACGGTGAGTTCTAGTCCTGCCTTAGGCACGAAAGACAGCTGGGTGACTTTGGGCCCATCACCAGGAGACGGTGAGTTCTAGTCCCATCTTAGGCACGAAAGCCAGCTGGGTGACTTTGGGCCCATCACCAGGAATCTGGGAGTTC